TATTCCACCAACAGAGCAGAAGTGTCCTTTTCTCTGTGGCTTCTCCACGGTCTGTTGTTTTTTGACTTTTGAATAACAGCCATTCTGACTGGTGTGAAATGGGATCTCATTGTGGTTTTGATTTGCATTTCTGTGATGATTAGTGTATTAGTCTGTTCTTGCACTGCTATAAAGAAATACCTGAAACTGGGTGATTTATAAAGAAAAGAGGTTGAATTGGTTGGTGGTTCTGCAGGCTGAACAGGAAGAACGGCTGGGGAGGCCTCAGGAAACTTTCGGTCCTGGTGGAAGGGAAGCAGGCCTGTCTTCTGTGGTTGGAGCAGGAGGAAGAGAGATCAAGGGGAGGCGCTACACACTTTTAAACAGCCACATCTTGTAAGAACTCACTATCATGAGAACAGCAAGGGGGAAACCCGCCCCTACGATTCCATCACCTCCCACCAGGCCCCCCCTCCAACAATGGGGACTACAATGTGATGTGAGATTTGGGCTGGGGCAGAAGTCGAAACCATATCATTCATGAGTGATCTTGAGCACTTTTTCATATGTTTGTTGGTCATTTGTGTGTCTTCTTTTGAGAAGTGTCTGTTCATGTCTTTTGTTCATTTTTTAATGGGGTTTTCTGCTCGTTCAATTGTTTACTTTCTTTTTTTTTTTTTTTTTTTGAGATGGAGTCTCGCTCTGTCACCCAGGCTGGAGTGCAGTGGCGCGATCTCGGCTCACTGCAAACTCAACCTCCCGGGTTCACACCATTCTCCTGCCTCAGCCTCCCGAGTAGCTGGGACTACAGGCGCCTGCCACCTCGCCTGGCTAATTTTTTGTATTTTCGGTAGAGACGGGGTTTCACCGTGTTAGCCAGGATGGTCTCGATCTCCTGACCTCGTGATCCACCTGCCTCGGCCTCCCAAAGTGCTAGGATGACAGGCATGAGCCACCACGCCCGGCCAATTGTTTACTTTCTTTATGGATTCTGGATATTAGACCTTTGTGTGATACATAATTTGTGACTATTTTCTCCCGTTCTGTAGGTTGTCTGTTTACTCTGTTGATAGTTTCTTTTGCTGTGCAGAAGCTCTTCAGTGTAATTAGGTTCCACTTGTCAATTTGTGGGTTTTGTTGCAATTGCTTTTGAGAAGTTAGTCATCAATTCTTTCCCAAGGCCCATGTAGGACTGAGTGTTGTATAAGAGAGAATGGTATAATAGCAAACAGCAAACACCAAACAGCAAACAGCAAACCTAGCAAACACCAGAATATGGTGAAGGGTAAGAGCCCAGTTTCATTCTTCTGCATATGGCTAGCCAGCTATCCCAGCACCATTTATTGACTAGGGAATCCTTTCTCCATTGCACATTTTTGTCAAGTTTGTCGAAGATCAGATGGTTGTATGTGTGTGACTTTATTTCTAGGTCTGTATTCAATACCACACATTTCTGAGCTAGAGTCATTGAAGATGCTTTTGTCCCTAGGAAGCCCTGACATTTGTCTCAAGATCCTGCTCTAAATAAAGATGTGTGAATAAAGAGCTGACAGTGGTCCTAGCACTGAGGTTCCAACTCTCATCAGGAAATGGCAGAAAATGGTTTTGAAGTAAAAGGATTTAGAGTTGAATCCAGCTTGACCTTTCTGTGACCTTGAACAATTCACTTAACCTCTCTAAGTTTCAGAGAAGTAAATGAAGTTAATATATCAAGAATTGATAGAATTAAGTGAGATAATGTTTAGAAAATGTCTAATATAATGTCTGACTTACCATGGGCATTTAATAAATTTTAGCTTGTGGCTATTGTTTTAGAGAAAGAGAGAAGGAGCCTTATTGGATAGAATTCTTGGCCCTTCATGTTAGTAAAAGCAGACAGACTTTTATATAAAGCCCAGCTTTACCTTTTACTTATTAGTTTGAATGAACTTGAGCAAGTTACTTAGTTTTCTGAATCTCATTTTTTCAAATAAAATTAATTCGATATAATTCCTTCTCTAGGAGATTTATTTTTTATTTATTTATTAGAGACAGGGTCTCACTGTGTCACATAGGCTGGAATGCAGTGGTGTGATCATAGCTCATCATATCGTCCTACTACTTGGCTCAAGCAATCCCCCTGCCTCAGCTTCCTGAGTAGCTAAGACTACAGGCATGTGCCACCGTGCCCGGCTAATTAAAAAATAATTGTAGAAATGGGGTCTCATTATGTTGCCCAGGCTGGTCTTGAATTCCTGGCAGTCCTCCTGCCTCAACCTCCAAAAGCTGTAGGATTCCAAGCATGAGCCACGCTGCCCGGCCTTTCTAAGGGGATTTAAAGAGAGAATGCATATCACACTGCCTGGCACAAGAACATAATGACTAACCAATTAATTATAACATTGTAAGTGCTAGGTAGTTAAAGTTAGTGCTAGAACAAGAACCTCTGCTTTCCTAACAGTAGGAATACTTGTGAAACTTACAGATTTTCTTTCTGTTTGTTTTTTTTTTTTAATTCCTCCCTTACTTTTCTTTTTTTAAAAAATTCCATTTGTGTGGGAAACTGTAGGAGAACAGATGCCTTCTACCTAGACAGGTTTGAATCATTCCCCATCAACAGTACTTGCTGTGAGTTTGTGTGTTATCTTCATTAATGGTCCTTGGTTGCAGTGAGCACTCAGCTTTGTTAGTTCATTCAGTCATTGATCATTTATTTATTGAGCACCCCCTGAGGTCCACACATTTTCTCAATTGCTTTCCTTGACAGTATCCATTGTTAAAATCCTTAATTCTTATCTCTTGCATAGGGAGTACAGCTTCATACCATGTTCAATACACTAGGGACTGCTCTGCAGAAATTTCTATCAACCTCTCCCAACCTGGGTGTCCTTGTCTCTTCCTTGCCCCTGTCAAAGTTTAAAGGACTTACCTGATGTCAACGTCCTGGACATCCAGCAGTGTTGCAGCTGTGTCTGTGTTACTTCTGGCTCTGCAACAGATGTGGATGGAGAAGCTCCTGCCGTGTAATGTTGACTTCCAGATGGTGGGCGTGGGGAAAAAGAAGGTGTGACAACAGGAGGGGAGACCTCAGAAAGTGCGCGACAGGAGGTAGCAGACAGGTAGTGGGCAAAGTAAGGAAATGACGGGTGGCAGAGGGAGGAATCCTAAGGAACGGGAGAGATTTGTGACATGCCTTAGAAGAGAAATGGACTAGAATTTATAATTAGCAAAATAAAAGTATATTTACTTCAAAAACCATACAATGTTAAGATGTTTACCGTCAGTTATATATGTCCACATAAATAAGTAAAATACGATTTTTAGTAGCTGGTAATTGAAGTTTGTTGCTGTCATATGGTTCCAGAAAAGCTAAAATTACACATTCATGATATGTGTACTCATGAACTCAAAATTTTAAATTAAGAAATTAAATTGATATTTTTGATTTGTTATATTTAACTTCTTTTCAACCTTAGGTTTATATTGTAATGTGCTCAAGAGTATTTTTTTAGTTTGTTATTAGTAAAACTAATTGTATGTGAAAATTAGATTTGTAGACAATCCTTTGATGATAGGGACATCTAAACAACCATAAGTCAAATATACAATTCTCCACTACCTTCAGAAAAGTTAATTAATATATCTGCCTAAATTATTTTCATAGGGTAAACTTTAGCTAGTTCTGTAGTTCAAAGGCAGACACCTGTCTTTGTTTGATTGATCTAAGGGTCTTAATTTACTACAACTTTGGTTCAATGTTGATTTTTATTTTTATCATAGAATTTTAGTAATTGATTTAAGTTATAAAACTGAATTCACACCCATGTCAGCATACAATGGTAAATTTCAAACATCATTATTTAAAATGTGGGACCAGGTCTTGTTTTAACAGATAAAAATTGATAGATATTCCTATATATTTTGCTGCTTCTACATTTTAAAAACTGCCAGTACAGTAAGAAATTAAGAGCCTAGAAGAGCGACTTCCTGGATAAGAACAAAACGTAATTGGAAACCAAAAGCTATGAAAGATAAATCTAAGATCTAGAAAGCATTTCTAATCTTGAGAAGAAAAACTGAGAACCTAATATCCATAGAGTCCATTGGAAAGCCATTTATTCTAATTATTTATTCATTCATCAAATATTCAGTACCTCTTGAGGAACTTCTACTCTAATGAAGAAACAGACAACTAAAAACAGTGGGATGAGTACTGTGGTCGAGGTACACAGAGGTCGTGGTGTGACGGAGGTGTATATACTGAGATTGTAGGAGCACATGCCATAGTGATATTCAAAATATTAATCTCTACAGTGTGGGAAATAGTGAGAGGGGACACAGGCTACAAACAACAGGCATGACTGTCCCAGTGCACACTAGCTGAATATCAACCCTGAACATGGGAAGGGTCACCTATTTTGTGCTGGGAACTGGAGTCAAGGAAGACTTCCTAGAGGAGAGGAGATATTGGCTGAGCTGAAACCTATAGGAGAAATGAGGGAGAACTAGATAATAGGGGGTCGGTTGGGATTTTACCAACAAAGGGCACTGCACAGAGCCTCGTCTTTGTTGGTTTTGGGGGAAGGGTAGTGGGACCCACAGCAGACCAGTTGCTCTCTGTAAAGAACTTCCTCCCTAACTCTCCCCATCTGTCCTTTTATACCCTCCATGTGGAAGAAGGATTTAAGAGTTGTCTGCTTCTGTATCTCCTCTGAATGTATCTGTGGCACGCTGTTTCATAACTTAATTGGGTGTTTGATATCTGTCACCTTAGGGTTTCAACCAACACATTGATTTTATCACCTTGTTATACATTTTTCAAACTAAGGTTAGAGATCAGGGGGATGAATAGGAGAGAAGTACATATTTCAGTTCACTGGGCATAGGTGAATAGAGGAAGGAGAAAAATGAACATACCCAATCCACAGAGAAATGGCTCACAGAGCCCAGTGACTATGCTGAGATGCTATTAATTCAAGAAAGTTTTGGTATTTGTTTTGTCAAATGACATTATTGTTTAGGACTTTTATTTTCCCTTACAGATGTTGATCTTGTCTCAGAATATTGCCCAACTGGAGGCCCAGGTGGAAAAGGTTACAAAGGAAAAGATTTCAGCTATTAATCAACTAGAGGAAATTCAAAGCCAGCTTGCTTCTCGGGAAATGAATGTCACAAAGGTACAGAAAGAGATTTTAGTGTAATCGTTACTTAAGGAAATATTTTCTTTGAAAAATGTTTTCCTAATGTACAAAACTCTTACTGTTATCAGGAGGAAGTTTGGAGTAGAAAAGTTTTGTGATTTCAAGAATAATAAAAGGCCACCTAACAGTTACTCAGCAAACATTCAGTTACTGTATGCAGCCCCTTAATGGGTATTGCATGTACAAGGATGAATTAGACACACGTCACGGCCTTGAAGAGCTTAAGGGTTGAGTGGCGGAGACAGACTTACAAATAAATAAGAGTTATATTACTTCGAATACTGAATATTTGATAAATCTCATTTTTCTAAATTAATTAGCAGTGCCTTGTTTTTACCATAGATAGCATAGGGTTGGTGTTTACAATAATTGCCAAAGACATATATTTACAACTTAAAAGGTGTGCTTGACATAAAAAATCTTCCACTTCCTACTCCTTTTCAGACTTGGTCATTAAAATAAAGATTCTAATACTACATGATCTTATTGTATTGGTGCTTAAATTTATACTTGAAAATACTACATTGTCTGTGCTATGGGTGTCACTGGTTCGTGAATCAAGAACTAAAATGTTTAATGGTCTTTACTGGCAATGATTAAGATACATATTATAAGAAATACTAGTAGTCCATCTAGATTTCAATAGTTAATTGCTTTAAAACAAAGAAACTAATAAAATCAATTTATTTTTTACCACTAAATATATAGATAATTTGCTTAAAATACTCCTTCCATGTTGCCTTTTATTCCTCAATGTATTTTCCAAAATTTTGACATATTTGTAATGCCATTGTTGCTCTGTAATTCAGTAATTAAAATTAATTTTAACATATATTAGGAAAGGGAGCCATTTTCCCCTTTTTCTTGAGTTTCTATAATTCTCCATTTGCTTTTTAAAATTCTTATTAGCTAATGTGCAAGTGTAAGAAGCTCAAATTTTTGTGTGGAGATAGGGTGGAAGTGAAGGAATTAGTTCAGAAGGATGGGAATGCTTAACCTAGATTTATAGGTGAAAGCTATGATGAGACAATTTTCAGTTGTTAATAGAGAGGCAGCTTTCTGTTGAAGTCGGTACAGCAGAGAGAGAGTTCTCTGTCTCAAGAACTAGCTGAAAGGACATGTGTATGCATCAGAAGAGTGATTAGACTAAATCGCCTTGAAGTTGCTTCCAACGTGGAGATAATGTAGTTCTGGTTCAATTTAATGTGCTAATTTATTTGAAAAAGAATTTCAGTGTTGTGGATAAACGTAGCAAATGCTGAACTGAAAGTAGTAAATCAGGGAACCGTAGGAGTAAAATGAAGGGATAAAATAATTTTAAATGTAACCTGATGCTTAAACAGTTTTTACCTAACAAATTTGTATTGGTGTTGGGTTTTAAACATCATGGTTGTAAAATCATTATCTTCTGACATTATCAATTCAGGGTTTTATTCCATTTTATTCATAGAAATAAATAGTAATAGTGAACAAATGAGAAAGAAAATAAAATATGGCTCCTCTCATTTTTTTTCCTGTCACTCTGAATTTGTAATTTTTATTTAGGTTTAAAATGAATAGTTTTTTATAAATTTATAATTTTTGAAATGGGAAGAATAAACTCTCGCACACTGAAGGCATTTGAACTTTCAACAGAATTTTTAATAAGTTCGTTATTGTTCTAGCTTTCTGAGGGCCACTGGGGAGAAGCCTGTTGACTTTTTCTTCTGTCTTGTCACCATAGCTTTTAAACGTAGATTATTTTTAAAGTTACTTTTTAGGTTCTGTTTTGTTTATTTGGAGACAGGATCTTGTCGTATTGCGCAGGCTGAAGTGCAGTAGCTATTCACAGACACTAGCACAGTACATCGCAATCCTGAGCTCCTGGGCTCAAGCCATCCCTCCGCCTCAGCCTCCAGAGGAACTGGGACTACAGGCATGCGCCACTATGCCCAGCTTAAATGCATATAGGTTTTATACCTTAGTCTGTTCTGATACCTCAGTAATGATGAAACTGATTTCTAAAGTTTCCAAAATCGTTATTTTTGGAGAAATACCAAATACTTGACAAGTTTCAAGAAAGCATAACCATGAGATAATATATTAAGAGCCATATATTTGTAAATTAGAAGCCAGCTTAGCTGACTTCTACATTCACTGAACTTTCCATAGGTTCTCAGTTCTCTCAAAAGGCCCATAATCTGCTTGTTTAGATTTATCTGCTAATAACACCTTTCAAATATATTTCCGTGTCTGTAGCAGCCCTAGATTGGAAAAAATAAATAAAACAAAGTTCTTAGTGTTAAGTATAGAGGATGATACGCAACACTTTTAAGATACTATGTATGTTCATTATTGATGCTATATTACAATTATTTCCTTTTATATTGAATGTTACAGTCGTTAGTGCATAGTCTGCTTAGTTCCAGTCTATGGCTTTTGCCAGAAAATCTTCCTTAACTTGAATACCTGGCATTGTGTATGATAAGATGACATCTGCAAGCCTTGCGGTCAATACTGGATACTACAGACCTAAATATCAATAGTATGTCTATCAGCAGACAAAAATTCCTGTATACGTTTCCTTTTAAAGAGCATAACTGATGAAATCTTTAAAAGAAAACTTTGTCATATAGAGTGAATGTTTAACTGTATCAATGTGAATGAATAATAACATAGCTTAACATTTTAACTGCTAACTTTACCTATTTAAGGGTTAGATGATAGTGCATTTTGGTTGATAATATGCAATTGAAACCGTTATATAAAATAATCTTGGGCACATTACTTAAATTCCTTAGTTATGCATTTATTTATCTATAATTTCAAGTTGTTAGAATTAATAATCCCTGATGTTGCTTCTGAATCTTAACAGTCTACGTTGAGTATTCTAGTAGAAAATGGCATTCTTAGAAAAGTTTTGTTGTATTTTATCCATATGACCTCTAGGGGGCACCAAAGGATCTAATTGCAGGCATTGCCTGGAAGATTCCAGCAGGTAATCATCCAGTTTTTACAATCTAACAGGTGTGTGGAGAAATGCGCTATCAGCTGAATAAAGCCAACATGGAGAAGGATGAGGCAGAAAAGGAGCACAGAGAGTTCAGAGCGAAAACTAACAGGGATCTTGAAATTAAAGATCAGGTAAGAGAGGACACAGCATAATTGCAGCAATTATAGATATGAGTAACATTCTTTCTCAAGTTGATGTTGTTTTATTCCTAAGTTATTTATTTGTATTGTTTCTAACTAATGGGATGATCCAGTTTATACTGTTAGGAGAATTTCTTTTATAGTTGCCTAAAATTATCACCTTTCACATGAAATGGTGAGAATACAACAGCAGGCATACACAATTCCAATCTGACAGGTCATAAATATACATTTGGATATGTGTATCTATTACTTACAAAAGTAAAAAGAAATGTTCTAATGCACAGTTTGAACCTAAAATATACATACATAAAGTTCTTGAAAGATGCCAACTTGAATCCAATTTTAAATGAAAAAGTTTAAAATTCGTAAGATGAGATGAGTTGATATGTAAATATGTCAATCAAATTGATTGTTGGCAGAGTGAAACCAGTTTTAACTGAGATAACCATGAATACGTTTGTTCATGAAGCCTAAATACGGTGACATTAGAAATGTTAGTGGATAAAAGCTGCGTACTTTAATTTCAGTTTGAACAGATGTTTTATGTTATATCTTTATTGAGATGAAGTAGATACTCGAATTTTAGTTGACAACATGGTTAAAGTTTTTAGAGAGGCAGTTCTAATAGGCTGACTTTTGATTTTCTATTTTTATGTTACAGTCAGGACCTTGAAGGTTTTCATTCTTTACATTCAATGAAAGCAGGTTGTTTATTCAATGAAAATAATAAGACTGGGTTCTTAGGGTCAATAGTTTAAAATAATTGTTTTAGAATTTAGAAGGACGTTGCTCCAAATAAATTTTTTTCAAATATGTTTCTAGTTCGAGGTTTTTCATCATATTTTCCAACATATTTTCTCTTTTGAGCCAATGAAGTCTTTACAACAAATGACGCAAAGACAATTGGGAAAAGTATTGAACACAAAAGTGATAATGAAGATTAGTACAAAAAGCTTTTCAAGTCATAACTGAAATCCTTAGTACTAAATTAAAATCTTGGCAACCAAAGTAAAATTCTGCATTTGAACCACTATATTTGGTGTTGTGGTAATGGGTTTTAAATTTTCAGAAGACTTTTAATTATTAACATGTGCAAATAATGAAACATTTTATTTCATCCAGCTGGGGGCGTGCCTGATAGTGGAATGGAAAATGCTTTCTATCAGGGACTGAAGGCCTAGGTCTACTGAGTTTATCACAGATAACTTTTCTTTCATAATATATTGTAATTTTTTTAAAGGAATCATATTGGCATACTTTTGGTCTTTTGTATTATTTGAGAGCATTTTGACAGCATAATATTTTGGACTAACTGGAAAAATACGTCAGGAAAGAGTCTCAGTTATTTAAAATTCCATTATAATTTTCTAGAGGAAAAAAAACCCATCAGGAACAATAAGAGTATAATATCACTTGTAAAGGAATAACTTGTTTAGAAGCATTTGCAATATTAGAAGTATCTGCAGTATTAAATCTCATTTTAATTAATCCGTGATGGTATGGAGGCTAAAGTTGCCGGATTTACAAGGAGCAGTTTTCATTTGTAAACATTTTCTGATAATAGTAGTTTTCTGACAATAGTAGTTTTCATAATGACATTTAGTGGGTTGTTTTTAGATAGAGACTGCCTTTTTAGGAGAGTCACAGCTTTAGGAATAAGACCTCTGAACAGTTACAAGATGTTTGTGATGTGATGTGATGTGATGTGCTTGTTACCGTTTTTTTCCCGACAGAATGTGAGGAAATCTTATAGGTCCTCTTTTAACTATTTTGTATTGAACAGACAGTTTGAGAAAAGAAAGTAGTGGTGTCTCATTCCATGGATGATTTGGAGGAGCAAAGCAGCAATTGTTCTTTGGTCTTTCAGCCATGACCTGACCTTCTGTCTGTGAGACCAAAGAACTACTTTGCTTGGCCACCATCTGCACTCAAGAGAGAAATTTACATTTAACTTTTAAAAGCGGGGCATGTTGAGCATTTATCTGAAATGCCTACAATAATAGAAAGTAGATTAAATGTTGAAGTGTTGTGCATCTTACAATTCCGCATCACAAGCAGGCTATCTGTAGGTTTGCAAACAAGGTGTTCTTCATAATATAGTCATTTTATTCATGTTTTAGTTCATCTGACCACTTGATACATTTTTTAAGTAGGTGGGAAACTGTGAGATTGGAATGTGTGAGAACAAGAGCCTTTTTGATGTATACAAAATAGGGCAAATGGTTGACCACCAAAATAATTTTCCTTGTGACCTGAGCCTTGGCTCTGGCATAATTAGAAGGAAAGGTTAGGAGAGTAACAATGGCAGCCTCTTCCACCCACTTTCTTCTTTTCTTCGTTATATTGTGTCAGGAACCGATGGGCGGATTATCCTTCCCATCAACTCCTTTGTATCTCTTCAGCTTAGATAATTCCTGTCAGCCTCAGAGGATGCTTCTTGCACCAGAAAAAAAAAGACATTTGGTATGAAGGAGAATGTGAAATATGCACTGTGATTTTTATTAGAAAATTTTTTAGGCAATGGTTATACACACACTCGATCAGGGGAATTTAAAAGCATATATGAGGGTACAGGGAATATTGTAATGGGTCCTTACATTTCCATCACCTACACTCATCATTTTTCCAATCCTCTTCCACAATCCTATTCTATCTATCTTACTTTTTTTCTCTCCACTTCTGTCCTCATCATCACCTTCATCTTCTTTGTCGTGTTTTTTCTGTTCCACCTTCTCGTCTTCATCTTCTTCCTCTTTGTTTTCTTCTTCCTCTACCTCTTTTTCTTCTTTTGCAGAAGTATTTTAAATGGATCTCAGACCTTATGTTATTGTACTCATAAATACCCATGTGGATCTATGAAGGATATTTTTACATACTATGTCATTATCATACCTACCAATCTTAACAATACTTCTTTAATATCAAATAACACCCAGCCTATATTCACATTTCTTTGTCTCAAAAATGTTTCTTTTACAGTTGGTTTATTCAAATTAGGAAAACAAGTATGTTTTTGTGTGTTAGAATGATCTGGTGTTACTCTTTTTAATAGGAAATAAACAGAACTCTTAGTAAAATTTCATCTTTCTTTGTTGTTGTCTGTTACATTTTGTACATAATATTTTGTGCTTTATTTTTATAAAATGGCTCATTATCATTCTAAAGAGGCATAAATTAATCCTACAGCAAACTATTTGAAGGAAATGGCTACCACGCAGCATTCCTGATAATCACATCCCAAAAGGAGCTTCCTAGCATCTGAAACCCCAAATTCATCATTAATTTCAGAGCCTTGTATTTGAGATTTGGAAATGTTGCAGGATGAGCTGACCTGAAATCAGTGATGCATACGTAGAGTTTCTTGTCAACTTCCCTTTTGGTAAATGAATCTCAGAAAATGATTCTTTATAGCCCCTACCCTTTGATTAGGACCCAGTGCAAAGTGAAAATACAGGACCCTTTTGTTCAGAAAGCAGGAAAGAAGTGATAGTAAAAAGAACTAAAATATAAAATATTTTCCTTTCTTCTTCAGTCTGTCTGTCCTTGCCCCTCCTCCCTCACCAACCCAGGCTGGACATGCCTCTTTTTATTTGCTATTTGATGTTAGGCTTCTTCAGCATAGGGATGATAGTTGTGGGGGAGTGCAGACCCCACAGGTGCCCGTGACGGGCTGTGCACATGTGGCCTGTCAGCTTCTGGGTTCTTCTTTCCTCTAGCCACAGGATCTACACAATGTCCCAGCATAGAGCAGGGGGTCATTCTCCCTCCCCGCCCCCGCAAGGAAGTCAGACAGGTGACCCCTGAGAGACCGCAGTCTCCATACTGCAACACATTTGCTGTCTGCATCAGGGATGGGTAAGAGGCTCTGCACAGAATCCACTGAGTGTGCTGTGGTACTGCCAGCTTGGGGTGGGAATTCTTACCTCCCTGTCCGGCTCTAAGATGCCAGGGATGGGCACACTTGACTCAGTCCTCTCTAAACACACATTCAGGATTCTGCCAGGGGCAAAAGACACAGCAGAACACACACCTCCCCCAGTGACATGCCCTGGTCCCACCCTGGGTGGAGGACTCCACCCCAGCAGCAGGGCAGGGCGGGATAAAGGAAGCTAGAGAGGAGTATATTTCTGAGAGCTGCCTAGGGCTGCACTGAGGCAGTGGAAAGATGAGACCAGATATAGGAGTTCAGTCTCCATTGTTCCATCAGAGTACACCTACAAAACACAATTCTAGGGGGGCAGTGGCTCATACCTGTAATCCCAGCACTTTGGGAGGCCGAGGTGGGCGGCTCACCCGAGGTCGGGAGTTTGAGACTAGCCTGACCAACATGGAGAAACCCTGTCTCTACTAAAAATACAAAAAAAAAAAAAAAAAAAAAAAAAAAAAAAAAAAAAAAATTAGCTGGGCATGATGGTGCATGCCTGTAATCCCAGCTACTCAGGAGGGTGAGGCAGGAGAATCGCTTGAACCTGGAGGCAGAGGTTGCGGTGAGCCGAGATCGTGCCATTGCACTCCAGCCTGGGCAACAAGAGTCAAACGCTGTTTCGGAAAACAAAGACAAAAAAAAACACAATTCTAAGATAAAATTGCTGATAATTTCAAGACATTGACCACAGAGTGTTAAACTGCAAGTCTAAGCGCCCTTTGAAACAGCACGTGTGACTGCACTGGTCACGTGCCCAAGAAACTGCCATGACCAGGGGATTGGGCAAATGGAGATTTTGCATACTAATATATGTGTATATACTCCACTTACGTATACAGACACATGTGCATATTCAATATGCTAATGTGCCCAGTATTCATAAAAAAGTGTTAGCCAACTACAGCTCATAGGTCAAATCTGGCCTGCTATCTATGTTACAAATAAAGTTTTATTGGAACTCGGCCATATCTACTCATTTCTGTATTGCCTATTGCTACTTCCTGCAATAACAGCAGACTTGAGGAGTTGTGGTAGAGACCATATAGCCCACAAAGCCTGAAAT